CCCCCCGCCAGCGAGCACCGTCCCCCGCAGCTGAACGTTTAATGCCGCGGGGAGCGGCACCCACCCCCTAATCTAAACACCAACGAGGAACCCGCCCGCGTGGCGGGACGCTTAACGCCAGGCGGGCGGGCTCCCGTCCCCACACCAGAGACGCCCCTGTGCAATGAGAGTATTTCCCTGGGGCACTCTGACAGTGATCAGCCCGCTGTCTGACCACTAGCTGCCGGCCCCGCCGCGGATTAAATCCGCGCGGCCCGGAGGCCGGGACGCTTGGATGCCCAAATGCCCGGCTACACCGGAAAGCACAATCCCCGCCACGAATAAATATCCGCGAAGTCTCGCGTCCTCCCCATGACTTCCAGACAGCGCGCCGCCCGCCCCACGACGGCACGACGCACTGCCCTTGGGCCGCTTCTCTACCAGTGACACCCAGTGTGCAATGGGCGATGGTTTATGAAGAACAACCGCCCACTGGGCAAACCTGATAGTGAATGTCTGGGTGCAATGTGAATTGTATCCACTCCAGACATTCGCTTCCCTATCTTGACTTGGGTTCAATGGTTAAGCCAGAACCCGCCTGCAGACGAAGTCTGCGTCGCCTCTTCGGTCTCCGGGAACGCGAGGGAACCACCCCTCCCCCAAGGGGAGGGAGAGAGCCCCACACGGGTCCCGAGGGCGTGGTGGACTCCACCCACGGGAAGGGAGCAAGCCTCCCTCTATCGGTGCCGTGTCACCAAGATTTGTAGTCGGAGTTACCTTCTACCGGCGCAATGAGGTCCCGCCCTTCAAGGGGCAGTTCCTGCAGACCCCTCGTGCTCCGAAGAGCACGAAGGGTCCTTGGGGCGCCGGACCCATGCGCCCTATTTAACGAGGAACTCCGTACTGTGGGATGTTGGCAGCCCGGACCCCCAAGAGGGGTCCAGGGTGAGCCCCCGTGCCACGACAAGGCCTCCCATGCACGGGGGAACTTCACCGGACTTCATCGGACTTCTGACAGAGTGTACACCGGAATTCAAGAGTAGTTACCACCTCGTCTCTACCTCACTTTAGTACTATTACCGTCGCTAAAAATATCAATCTTAGTTGTATGGATGGCGGGATATTATGAGATATGCCTGTGTTTGTGATATTTAAAAAAAGTTAAAATGGTAAATTATTACTTTGTTAACTAAAAAAGTATTTGGGTAAAAAGCAATATTACTTTTTATAGGTAAATATAATTAAAATTAATTAAAAATATGTTCGCATATACTGCAATATATTATACTTATATTATCTCAGATAAAGAAGCCTGCAGAGACAAAAGTAACAGAGTATCTATGCTACTATTGCTACCAACGATAGCAACAAAGAGAAATAATTTACTATTTTTATTTTTTTAAGTATCATCAAAGAACTCTAGTACATCGCAGTATATGTAGACATTTTAAATTAATTTTAATTATATTTACTTATGGGGAAAATAATACTGCCTTTTACTCAAATACTTTTGTAGTTAACAAAACAATAATTTTCCAATTTAATTTTTTTTAAGTATCACAAACATATTGAGCAATATCTAGCAGGCGCAATTGGGGTTGATGTTTTTAGCAACGGTAATACTAATAAAGTGTGGCAGAAATAGCCAACATGCATAGCTGTCACTCTCGCACAGTCGGCCGTCTTCTACCATCGTTAGCATAGGGAAGGCTCACTCTAGTGTGTATAGAGCTTATGGCCGTAGCAAACTTCTGCATAACGCATAACATATAGTGCATAAGAAAATCAACTAAAGTTCCTCTTTTCCATGAAATGGAAGAAAAGGAAAGATTCTGATTGGCTGATTCTCTTATGCATTACGTTATGCGTTATGCTAAAGTCTGTGCTGCGGTCATTACTGAATGTGTGCGCATAGACCAAAAGGTCACTGTAATAATTTTGTTAACAATAGTTGCAAGTATGGAAAGTGGATAACCTTTTATTTTATGTAAAACATAATAACCATATATACATATTTACCTGATCGCGGTTGCTTGAAGGGGAGGTGGGCTTTTCAAAATATGCAGACTTTGAGCGTTTTTACTGAAAACGTCAAGGTTAATTGTTGTTGCAATCGATAGTTAATACTTTTATTCCAAAACGCGGGAAACTCCTATACCCCTCAGAAAGGTACAAAGGGTCGTTGTACTGGGTCAAATTGATAAATATTTTCAGAAAAAATTTACCACTTTGACACAGTATGGCGACCTCTTGCACCTTTTTGGGCTGCGTTCAGATTCCTTACTGGGTAGGTAATCGCTGGGTGACTGGGTGAGTGGACGGAGCCTAGTGAAAAGTACTGGAGCGGTTTAGGATTTGTAACGCACTTCAAGATAAGAGAGTGTCTTACAGGCATATCGGTTACAACAAATATTATAGTAACGTAAATTTATCAGATTTAATATAAATTATATAGCCCAAAGCTATCATTAAAATGAAAAGTCTAGCCATGTTAAAAAATGTAAGCAGATCTTCAAAAATGTAAACCTTTAACAATTGAAATAATTATGTAACAATATATATTATTATGAAAAGTAACTGATATATTATTCAAAGTCTCAGTTCAAAGTGAACATACATAAAGCGTATTCTCAAAAATGTAAACCTTTAAAAATTTAAATGATTCCCTGATGATATATTACCA